ATTCGTTAATCAATTTAACTATTGGTGAGTTAATTTCGCAGTAAAAAAAATGATCACATGTTGAAAGTAAAATAATGCTCTTTTACTTACTTATGCATGTTACCTCTGATGGAGTATGGGCAACTGACCAGCATTATCCAACCTACTTTGTACTAGGGAGTTCTTTTCCTGTTCTACTGAAGTTGATAATTATTCTTTTCACGTCAGTCTCAGATCCTCAACACATTATATGTCCCTTGGTTTACCGCTTTTCCTTTAACCTTAAGGATTTCAAATGAAGGCGCTTGATTTGCGACGCAGTTGAGTACTTTTTGTGATGCATGGCCGATTGACTTCCAGCGCTTTGGCTTAATTTCTTATACACCTTGTTCTAACAAGGAGATAGTTTGATTTTTTCTTTTAATCTTGTTTGACATTTTCATAGAAATAATTATTTGCGTACTACAAAGTTTGTTTGAACTTGTCTAAAATCCAGATAAAATTCACTGATACTGATAAACTCAAATTTGACAACAAATGAGTATGATTAGCTGATATGAACAAACTGATTAGATAGAAAGATGAAAAGGTTCGAAAATTTTCTATGTTTTTCAATCTAATATTTAACTTCCGTAGCTATCGTTCATTTAAAACCTAATTTAATCATGGTGTTTTCAGCTTCATTAACAAAAGTTTCTTAGGTTTAGTTTGTATGAAAGTAGATAAATGTGATCCAAATCATAATGATGTAATTTATATTACAAGTTTTTTTTGGAAATCTTTCATTAATTTTTCACATACTAAACACTAAATGAATAACTGTTGGTCATTTATGACAATCGAATTTTGTTTTTAATCACCGATTGGCTCTCTCAGACATCAAAATTATTATATAAAGGTCTTAGATTTTATTTTTATGAGAACTAAGTGAAGATATTAATGTCGAATATATTTACTGTCAAGTGATATTCTATTTAGATTCATTGTACTCTGTTTTAGAACTTTACCAGCCGAATTCTCTCTCTCTCATCTTGTAGAACATCCTGTGAAGCATGTCGCCAACAGCAATTTACAGAATGTTAGTTAGTTAAAAAAAAAATAAACTTCATATTTTGATAAATTGCGAGTTGCCAAAGATAGTGCATTATGAACGTACTGCATCATTCAAACTGAGTTAAACTAACAGTGGTAGGAAATTTTTCTGTTTTCTAATAAGATAGCTAGCTGGTTTGTGAGACTTCAAATCTATTGGAATTTTTTCACTAAAAATTTTTGATTGTAATTATTTTACATGGGCTAACAGAAAGTAATTTTCTACAATCTCTTCACAAAACTCACTAGTCAGGTTTTCTGCCGAATTCCGTTGCATCCTGTAACAGTTAGTTATTGCTCTCTTGTTAGCGTTTCTTTAGCAATATTAGTTTTCTGTGGGATGTGATCCCGAACCCCTATCCTATACCCAATCCTCCTACTTTATTCGAGCTTTGGTGTAAGTTGTTAGTTGTATTCTTAGATATGACTGAAGTATTCGAATAAATACAACAATTGATCATTACTCATTTTTATATGTAACAGTTTATCAAGCAACAATCTAATCAATATGACATACGTACTAATTTATCAAAGAAGTTCTACATGAAATATCAGTGAAGATAAATAAATGACTAGGCATTCTTAGTTGATTCGATAAAAAAAAACATTACCTTCATGTTCTTCTATGTAAGAGTAGATTTTTCTTTATTATAATAGCCTTCAATGTTTGCCTATCATACAGTCAAATAGTGCACATCACATTCATTCATTCATCTATATTTTGAGTTCATTAATTTTTATGATATTATTTTCTTATATTTTTGAATATAGGTCAAAAATCACACCATATTTATTTATTGAAATACCTTGTAATAAAAAGAGTTATATAATTGTAAAAAAAAAACTTTTTCGGCTGTCACATACAACTAAGCAAATTGTGTGTAATTAATCAGATTAGATGGTCTTGATATTATTAATTTATATATATATTTTTCATACTTTATACAAACAAACATCCAGGAAGACATACATTCCAGGTATATTATTTTAAGTTTCTTTATCTAACTAACTTAAGCTACTTCAATGAAATTATACATTATATATGATAAACCGTTTAAAATTTGAATAAGTTGGTCACAATATTTCCAGTATATAAAATTTTTTTTTAAAATTCATATTCTGTTTAAATAATATCTTTTAGTCAAAGTTTTCATTGATAGGAATATGATTTAAACAGTGTTTCCTATAATCAATAAAATGAACATTATAATAAGATAGTCGACACTGAGTAATAATATGATAGATAAAGTCATCTATCTAACAAGTTGTTAAGTTAGAAATGAAAAATTAATAATACATAACGTTTTATTGAAGAAATTTCTGTAAGTATTGTAATTTCCTTTGATTATAACGACTGGCATTAGAGTGCTTTCAAATTATTTGAGATTATTTCATTCTGACCTACTTTAAAAAGATTACCATTCAAAGTATACATTACAACTTTTTGAATATGATGCCAAAATTTCGTTTGCTGATGATCGTGTCTGGCCAATAGATCCTCAGTATCTTGCGTAGAAATCTATTATTAAATTCTTGTATCTTATGGATGATGGCCTTCGTGCTTCCTCCAACATTCTACTGCATACAGTAGAACTGTGTTCACATCTGTATTGAAAATCGTGACTTTGGTATTTGCCGATAGATGTTTTGAGTTGTGGATGTTCTCCAATTGAAGAACTACTGCCTTTGCTTTGCCGATCCGTGTCTCCACGTCTGTATCACATACACCTTGCTCATCAATGATGCTGCTCAGATAAATAAAGGTTTCCACATCTCCCAGAGCTTCTCCACCAGGTGTGGATTGGTTGTTGAATGTTGCGTCACATCAGAGGGTCTTGCATTAACCTGAGACTATTACTGCGTTTGTTGTTCTGTGTAGCATAGTAGGCAAGATCATCCACGAAGTTCAGTTCGTTCAGCTGCAATCGAGCAGTCAACTGCATTCCGTGCTTCCACTGAAAAGTTCACATCTTCATAACCCAGACAACAACCAACAAATGAGAATGTGTGAGAGTAAGCAACCTTCCTTGACAACAGTCTTCACGTGGAATGAATCGGTGATGTGTCAACCATGTGTGATTTGGCAGTTTATTCCATAAGAACACTGTATTGATTGTTCCACAATGATCCACAATGTCACAATTTCGTCGGTACACAATCAGATAATTAAGGAATCAAGCCTGCTGATCTCGAAGTTAAGCGTCAACATCATCCTTCATTTGGCTAGACAACACTCTGTTGAAGACGTTTTCTGGTGTTGAGAGAAGAGTGATGCCTCGATGGTGCTTGGTACTTTGGTGTCTTGATGAAGTGTCCTTATTTCCAGTCCGTCAACACTTGTTCTTCATCCCGAGTCTTGCTAAACAGAATGTGAAATAACTTTGCAGTCACTGCTTTGCTGTTCATGATTTCTCTGATGATAATACTGATCACCTCGATTGTTGGTAGGTCAACGTTACTTGGGAGGTCTGTGTGTGCTGCTTCGATGTTGGATGGATTCAGTGACACTGGTCTACTTGAGAGTTCCTCGAAGTACTCTAACCACCTATTTCGCTGTAGTTCAATGTCGGTGACTACTTTGCATTCCTCGCTCTCCACTGGTAGTTCTGCCTTCCTGTATTTTCTAGCCAGCTTCTCCGTTGTACCATATAGTTGTCTCATGCTTCATTCTCTTGAAGCTTATCCTAATATCGTTTCTAGGTGTTTCGCATATATAAGTGTATCTGCTCCGATGCTTCTCTTCACCTGCTTGTTTGCATCTGTATATTCAACTTGTGCCTTGACGCTCTTTGCTCTTATTCATCTGGTATTGATAACTGCCTTCTTCTTCTTCTTCTTCTTCTTCTTCTCTGGCACTTGATTATTATCCAGTGTATCAACAGTGATCCATTCCTTCTGATAGCGATTCGTGTTGTCCAGAACCTCATGACATGTTGAAGTGCTTGCTTCCTCGATAACTTTTCAGGTGCTCTCCATCGTAGTTTTCGCTTCACCGAAATGATCGTGAAATACCTGCGACCTATTGTTCAAAGACATCTTGAATTCGTCGAGTTTGCCAGTATCCCGAAGAAATGCTGTTGTAATACTGTCGTAATACTGTTAGCTTGGTTGTCTAGTGCCTCTTTGGTTCTAGTTTCATCTCGGTCACCACCAATTAATGACCTGAATCAGTGTCAGTTCCTCTCTTTGTTCTCACGTCATCCAAGTTACTTCTGAACTTTTTATTGATTCACATGTGGTCGGTTTGGTTCCCTCTACTGTGATCTGGTGAAACTCATGTAACTTCGTGTGTGTGTTTCAGTGGGAATATGGTGCAGCTTATGACCATTTTGTTGAAGGTCCGTAATTTGATGAATCTGTAACCGTTATCGTTCCTTCCTTCTAGTCCATAGCGTCTTATGCTGTCTCCATATGTGGTGTTGTCCATCCCAACCTTCGCGTTTCGGTCTCTCACCAGAGCTTTCAATTCCTTTATTGGGTATTTCTCAACGATTAACTACAGACTCTCATAGAATTGATCTTAAATGTCTTCACTGTTACCGTTGGTAGGTGCAAAGTATTGGATGACATTGATTGTAATGCCCTCACTCTTTGTTTTGAATGATGTTTTGATGATCCTGTGTCCATGAGATTCTCATGCTATCATTGCTTTTTGTGCTTGTTTGGACAGCATCAATACAACTCCGTCTTGGTCGGAGTATAACAGCATTTCTCTTGAAGCTCGTGTTTGTTGTCTAACCTGTGTCTAATTTGTTTCACTGTTATTTCCTCGATCTCCTACAATGTACGAACATTACATGTACCTAAAACCTTCGACAAGTGTTAATTAAATGATCTAACCGAATGAACAAAACGTGACATACACATTAACATAAACTACTAGCCACTTTCTATTTATTCTGTAATAATATTTGTAACATATTAGTTATATGAAGGTAATCAACACAGGGTTCACATACACCCATAAAAATCTGATCGAAATTAAATAACCAACTAATCTAAACTATCATAAATTAAAATATATTGATATATGTTTAAGGGAAAGGTGATAAAATCAGTTTATTTGAAATACTGTAATCATAATTGATAGAAATTTAGTAAACATTAATACCGTTTTGATGCATTCAGTTTGATTGAGGTAAATTACTTTAAACAGTTCCAGTGAACCAGACATGATTTGATAATAAAGTTTGAACTATGAGGAGTTGTTGGAAATTCACTGTACTCATAGATTAATTAATGCTTTTATATTGTAAGATAAATAAATACCTTTTATATGAGTTCGGCTATATTAAATGTTGAACATCACTCCATAAATCCATATATATGAATATATCTTGAAATATTTTAACAGTGTAATTTAATCAACCATCTTATGAACAAAAGATTTGATTATAGTTTTAAATTGCTCAATCTGATTTCAGTAGTTAGTTATTAGTTCAAACTAAATTGGTAATGTAGCACATTATTGTTTAGGTTCATGAGCATAATTGTAAATTTCCAGTATTTACTTCTTTAAATTAAACTGTATGATACATTGTCAAACATTGAAAATTCAGTCAAATTCACTGTCTTTGCTGAAAACCTATTTTTTGAGTTATTTAAATTGTTCTATATTGTTTCTATTTTGTTTACAATTCCAAACAAAATAATAAGAATAATTTTCTTTTAAAACCAATTAGGAAACAAATACTGATCAGTTTGACGTTGATACTTGGTGCAATAAATTATTTTCAATGACTTCAATGGAAAGTCAATCAACTAAGCGTCATCAAGATGTAGAAGGATTTCCAGTACTGGAGAATAAACTTAATTTTTCATCTCCTCACTTGGTTAACAACTATCCATTTGCTTACTCTCCCCCGTCATCTGAGGAGTTCCATTATCGTCTAGCCTACTTTTTAATACGTGATTTTCATCCACCGAGAATACTAGAGGAAGAAGGATTCAAGGTAAAATAGGAGAATAAATCTATATTTTGATAGTAATTTTATTTGTTATATTGTGTAAACTATTTTTTTTGGGAAGGACATACATCTGTCCGGAACTCGTAATTTATGACGATCTGGTGATTATATTTGTGGGAATTTTCCATCCCACTTGGTAGGAATGCAAAAAGAAAACTCTTTTCATGCACACTGATCAATAAAACCCAACAATCTTGGCAGCTGTATTATAAAAATCATAAATATATACTCACCACTGACTAGCTTCGGGAAGAAATTCTCGGAGTTTTAGTGAAAAGCCGCGACCAGTGAAGTTCAATCCTGCTGAGTGTAGGTGGTTGCCTGACTGAAAACAATGGGTGAGGTTGCGTACTAACTTAGATTGAATAAAGTTAGACATTAACACCATCGCATGTCGACTCAGTGGTTCAGAGGTTAAGCGTTCACATGCAAGACTGAAGGTTCTGGGTTCAATCTCCGAGAGTGGGGGTCGTGAATAAGTACTGTTGGTGAGTACCGACTAAGACGAAGGGATTTCCAGTTCTTCCAGATTTCTAATAGCGGTCTGATAATGATTAACTAATCGTTACGATGAAGAAAGTAAGTTCATACTATCTCACTTCGATATTTAGACAAGATTAGGAGGCTCACTGGCACCAGATTACACCAGGGATCACCTGCTATCTCAGGGTTACATCTTGACTATGAGTGTTAAGATGCATCAAACATAAGTTCAGGGTTTTCATCGACTACATCCTATTGCATTACACTTGGACATAAATCATCAGAAGTCAAATCACTCGTATTAAGGTTCACTTTATAATATTTAAAAATAGGATTGGTTACAGTTTTGATATTCTAATATCAACTACGTACCATGTATCAGGTGTTAAATTTAGGCTAAATCCTCAAACAAGTCAAATGATGATATATTATTTAGCATATGGGATCTAATGTCCTGCTCTTACGAGCGAATCCATTAACTTGTAATAAATTTACTTTATATATATTTATATATAAAGTTTACAAATTTAAGAATGAAGTTATTTATGTTTGAACCAGAAATAAATGGAAATTTTCGTTTGACCTTGATGATTTAATAACCTATTTTGATGAGGAGTAATTAAGTAAGAATGTAATATAAGTTTTGAGAATTTCATGTTAACTCTAAAAGAAAACTATTTCTTTTATTCATAATCTGTTCATCTGTTCATCTACTATTGAAAATTAACGCGTTATGTTAATAGATTAAAATTAATCACTTTCCGTTTACGCCTTTCATAGTGAAGTCTGTTGTCTTATTTTTTATTTATTTCTTGTTTTTATGTACATTTTAATTTATTTTGATTTATTGATTCCTCTGTATAAAATCTATAGGTGACGTTTAATAATATTGTGTGTAAAATTTGATGCTCGTTTATAGATCAAAACAGAATATTAAAACATGCTTTGTACACACAAGTGGTCGCATTGATACTGTTCAAACAAGCACAAAAAGCAATGATAGCATGAGAATCTCATGGACACAGGATCATCAAAACATCATTCAAAACAAAGAGTGAGGGCATTACAATCAATGTCATCCAATACTTTGCACCTACCAACGGTAACAGTGAAGACATTTAAGATCAATTCTATGAGAGTCTGTAGTTAATCGTTGAGAAATACCCAATAAAGGAATTGAAAGCTCTGGTGAGAGACCGAAACGCGAAGGTTGGGATGGACAACACCACATATGGAGACAGCATAAGACGCTATGGACTAGAAGGAAGGAACGATAACGGTTACAGATTCATCAAATTACGGACCTTCAACAAAATGGTCATAAGCTGCACCATATTCCCACTGAAACACACACACGAAGTTACATGAGTTTCACCAGATCACAGTAGAGGGAACCAAACCGACCACATGTGAATCAATAAAAAGTTCAGAAGTAACTTGGATGACGTGAGAACAAAGAGAGGAACTGACACTGATTCAGGTCATTAATTGGTGGTGACCGAGATGAAACTGGAACCAAAGAGGCACTAGACAACCAAGCTAACAGTATTACGACAGTATTACAACAGCATTTCTTCGGGATACTGGCAAACCCGACGAATTCAAGATGTCTGTGAACAATAGGTCGCAGGTATTTCACGATCATTTCGGTGAAGCGAAAACTACGATGGAGAGCACCTGAAAAGTTATCGAGGAAGCAAGCACTTCAACATGTCATGAGGTTCTGGACAACACGAATCGCTATCAGAAGGAATGGATCACTGTTGATACACTGGATAATAATCAAGTGCCAGAGAAGAAGAAGAAGAAGAAGAAGAAGAAGGCAGTTATCAATACCAGATGAATAAGAGCAAAGAGCGTCAAGGCACAAGTTGAATATACAGATGCAAACAAGCAGGTGAAGAGAAGCATCGGAGCAGATACACTTATATATGCGAAACACCTAGAAACGATATTAGGATAAGCTTCAAGAGAATGAAGCATGAGACAACTATATGGTACAACGGAGAAGCTGGCTAGAAAATACAGGAAGGCAGAACTACCAGTGGAGAGCGAGGAATGCAAAGTAGTCACCGACATTGAACTACAGCGAAATAGGTGGTTAGAGTACTTCGAGGAACTCTCAAGTAGACCAGTGTCACTGAATCCATCCAACATCGGAGCAGCACACACAGACCTCCCAAGTAACGTTGACCTACCAACAATCGAGGTGATCAGTATTATCATCAGAGAAATCATGAACAGCAAAGCAGTGACTGCAAAGTTATTTCACATTCTGTTTAGCAAGACTCGGGATGAAGAACAAGTGTTGACGGACTGGAAATAAGGACACTTCATCAAGACACCAAAGTACCAAGCACCATCGAGGCATCACTCTTCTCTCAACACCAGAAAACGTCTTCAACAGAGTGTTGTCTAGCCAAATGAAGGATGATGTTGACGCTTAACTTCGAGATCAGCAGGCTTGATTCCTTAATTATCTGATTGTGTACCGACGAAATTGTGACATTGTGGATCATTGTGGAACAATCAATACAGTGTTCTTATGGAATAAACTGCCAAATCACACATGGTTGACACATCACCGATTCATTCCACGTGAAGACTGTTGTCAAGGAAGGTTGCTTACTCTCACACATTCTCATTTGTTGGTTGTTGTCTGGGTTATGAAGATGTGAACTTTTCAGTGGAAGCACGGAATGCAGTTGACTGCTCGATTGCAGCTGAACGAACTGAACTTCGTGGATGATCTTGCCTACTATGCTACACAGAACAACAAACGCAGTAATAGTCTCAGGTTAATGCAAGACCCTCTGATGTGACGTAACATTCAACAACCAATCCACACCTGGTGGAGAAGCTCTGGGAGATGTGGAAACCTTTATTTATCTGAGCAGCATCATTGATGAGCAAGGTGTATGTGATACAGACGTGGAGACACGGATCGGCAAAGCAAAGGCAGTATTTCTTCAATTGGAGATCATCCACAACTCAAAACATCTATCGACAAATACCAAAGTCACGATTTTCAATACAGATGTGAACACAGTTCTACTGTATGCAGTAGAATGTTGGAGGAAGCACGAAGGCCATCATCCATAAGATACAAGAATTTAATAATAGATTTCTACGCAAGATACTGAGGATCTATTGGTCAGACACCATCTTCATCAACCAAGTGTTTTATAGAAGAAAGCTCATTCCTTTTCAGGACAAAATTAAGAATCTCCAAATTTCGTAGATTTGTTACATGAACTACTGCTGACATAGGAAATAACCCACCAATGCCTCATTTATTTTATATATAGTTCATTCCAAACGTGAACCTTATTTGAACTTTATTTTAAGCCATATACTGCTATTATTGAGAGAATCACCATAAATTAATGAGCACGTGAGTACTCGTTCATCTTAGCGCCACATCATCCATTGGTTTGTATTCTATACTGGGAATGAGGATGGAACCAAGAATCTTCTATCTCGCAGAGAACGCTGAATCCTTTGTCCACTGAGCCAACATCCTTTGACAGAGATGTTTAACTGTTCATGTAATTTTCGACTCCATTCTATTCTATTAAAACTTTTCTGCTGAATTCATGAATGAATCATCATGTACGGTGTTTTTCCATTTAAGATACATTGTGTTATATTGGGTATGATAAAAATGAATACATCGTGAAATTAATAATAATATTACTGGTTATTTCACATGTCGAAACTTTCGAAAAAACCTCATCAAACAAACCTCAGCAAACAAATCTAATGCCATAAAATATGATCAAATTTGTCCAGAAACTAATTCTTACTAAAATGTTTTATTCAGTTGTATTCGACCGAATTCATATCAAAATAAAAAAAAGAAAGAAACTAGGCATTTTTTTTTTGCTTCTGGTTTCTCTCGTTTCATTAGCTACATCAGATTTCATTAAATTGCTGTGGTTTTGCCCACTTGATTTCACTTTCCCGATGTATAAAAAAATAGTTCATTATCTCTCACCAAATGACAAAAAAATAATCAAACGACATATGTGATTAATATGAAATGAGTAACTCGATTATCATTAAACATATACATGGCATGACAATGTATTGGTTTTTAATGATAGGATTTGATTATCATGTCGATTTCCGTAAAACGTTAACTTGAACAATGAAAATAACTCATTTTTCAGTAATATATATATATATATATATATATATATATATATATATATATATATATATATATATAGGTTCTGTTAATATGTTATTCAGTTTTGCAAACTCATACTGAATAGAGATTTCATCGAAGTCAGACTAGATGTTTTGAGATTTATTTCAAATCATGACATTGATTTCCTGATAGCATTATTTAGTAAACTAGGATTATCAGCTATGATGAACTTGTTATGAATATTCAGTAAATTTATAGACTGTTTGATATTTTGTAAAAATCTACAAGTTCCATGATTAAAATTGTTAAACTTTCAATTGGCTAACAGAAATACAATATCTACCAAAATATTAAATTCGATTTATAGTGATTTTCGTCATAGGGTTGTGGAGATTGTTAAGTTTCATTGAGATCATGAGTCGATAAACGTTAAGCCATCATTCGTAACCTAAATGGACTAGACGGCTGCTTCTATCCCCTTTGTGAGGATCGTGGATAAACATTACTGAAGAGCCCCATAATAGGACAAAACGACCATCCAGTGCTTCCAGATTTCTAATGGTGACCCAACATTGATCGATTCAACAGATTTGAAATCCCGATTATAGTGGAGATTATTGTATGATCGTTTTGTGATTATGTTGTAAAAAATATTTCAAAATGTACTTTTGAATGTGAAATAATTTTTTTGAGAGCTAAATCAAAAATAAGACCTTTAAAAATCTATTCCAACATTATTATATTTAATCATTTATTTCTATCAATAATAAAAACAAAACTTTTTTTATATTGTTAATTGAAAGAAAAGATTAAACTTGTCTATTAGAATAAAATAATAATAATAATAATAATCGTAATCGGTTAATAAATATTTCGGAACTTTAATTTATGACCTGATATATTGCGAATTTTTCAATAATTCAGATTATTGTAACATTCGATAAAGGAAAATAATCCAAGGAAACTACAAGATTTATTAATTTAGTTTTTTTTATAATTGTACTTATGAAATGGCTTTAGTTAAACTGCGCATTAATGACATTCATATGCAGTTTATAAAACAAATCGAAAACTTGATAAAAGAGTTAGGTGCTTTGAGAATACGTCTAAAGGGATTTCTTAGACTTGATATCTATACATTTGTTGTTGTTTTCTAAAAACAATCTAGCCAGCTAGACTTTGTGAGCACTTTTTCATATTGAGAGACTGAGTATAGTAATCTATTCTCTGCTTGAAGCGCAGGGACTATTCCTTTCCGTCAACGCTTCCAATAGGATATCCCAAAAATATTATCGATAATTGAGGATTCAACTACTAAAATAGGATTTTCAATCATGTTTAGTAAATAATGATATGTATTCCTGACAAACAGAACAAAACATTCTTCTCGTGCATAAAATCATTAATTTTGAGCCATAAATCACTCGCTTAAATGACAGGAATATCTCAAACGATACTACTTAATCAAACTATTGAGTAATAAACTTCACACGTAAATTATTAACATTATTTTCTTTTATTTACTATTTGTTAGGTATTATTTGAAATACTATGGAATAAATTTATAAAAAGAGATGAAGATATGAATTATGATCCTAAGTCGAAATTCCTACCATCATCGGATTTAATGGAAAATGAAATATTAACCAATCTCTACAAAAATATAAAACTTAATGTTGACAATAAAATCAAATCATTGATTGCATTACAGAACTCAGGAAATTACTCAGTGAATTTACCACAAATTACTATTTCATTAAAATTCTGGTCTCTAAATCCACATGACAATTTTAAATTAGAGAAAGATAATTTATCATTTGAATTTGTTGATGTAAAATTGAATTTCTTTGTAAATACTCAACATACTTCTAACAGTAATCACATTTTTTATGGCACTTATGAGGTAAGAGTAGTATTCATATGTATGTTTTTATGTTAACACCAACTGTATTGCATATAGTAATCAAGGGGATTCAATATTTTTGATTAGTATGGATATCATAAAAATCATCATTAACTTTACGGTAACAAATTTTATCATGCTGACAGACACCAACCAGATGACATTGAATATAGATCTAGACCTTGAAGATGATTTCCTTCAACTTTCACTTCGAAAACATCAAACGTCATGAACTGAAACGTTGGACCATTTACACTAGTGACCAAGTTACAAGTTTATTAAATTGACGCTAAAAATTGGTTGGCTATAAGTAATGCCTAATTAAGGAGATTAAAAAAACAGTCATTTTATCCGATTATAAGAATATAATAACACAGATTACAATGTTACTGACCAATTTAAGCAAAGTCCACAATATTCTAATAAGTATATAAGTCTTAATTCCGATGCAAGTACAATGTTTTCACTACCATCACAAAATTGAAATTATATAGACATATCATTTATACAAAGCAGGCAAACACAAAATTTTTTTTCTCACCTGAATTGAGATACTACTGTCAAGATCAAACTGAAAGAAAAAAAAACTTGCATTTATACTTCTTGAACAATATTTGTTTTTCTCGCCAATTTTAGATCAGTAAAATGCAAACATTGTATGAAATTTTAAAACCATGCTGGAATTTGATCTATTCACAATTTAATACAAACTATGATTATATTTTATCCGAATGGCCTATTATAATATTAACTAATTGTTCAGAGTATGCTTCGAATGCATTCCAAGAACTATGTCCAATTTCGAATTATCTGATATTACCGTGTGTGGATGTTCACATGAGGAATGCTGTGCAGGTAGAAATTTTATTCGTTTATGTAATATGTATGCATGTATAATCATCAATGGTTTGGTATAAATAATCATAAGACTAGCAATAATTGATTTGTAATTTATATTATAAAGTCTAACGCTTTATTTGAACAATGAAAACTATATCACGTAAATTTTATTAACAGAAGATATCTTTTAAGTATGACTGATTACTGAAAGAAACATATACTTAGACAATTTTCTATTACATATCCTGTTTAGTTGCATAAACTTTTATTAGAATAAGTGAATTACTTTTTTTGTGTTCGCAACTCTATATTGAGTAAGAAATATTCAACTAATATCCACTTGTGTTTTTGGTGTTTGAGTGAAATATATTAAAAATCAAAGTAGTGATAGTTTTGTTCATTAATTGTACTCAAACTATATAAGCGAAAATTATTCATTTCTCAATTTTTTTTTCTTGTTAAGTTGAAAGGATTAGTAAGCCATTGAATAGTTTTGATAAGATGATTTTAATTAGTTTGAAAGTAGAAATTTTTTTTATTAAAATTGTGGTTAGTATTTGTAAACGAAACTAATTTAATATGATGTTATTAATGTTTCGTGCTATATTTAAATTCGTATAATCAGATCCTTTAAATCATTTCTAATAGAGATTTTTGCTGATGAGCTATTTCTTTGGAATCATAAATCAACCCATGTTAGACCATCATTAGAAACCTCATAACACTGGACGGCCGTTTTGTCTTAGTATGGTACTCATCAGTATTGTGCACCCACTACTCCTGCATACGGGAATGAAACCTAGGACCTAGGTCTCGTGCGCAAAAGATCAACCTCTAAGCAACTGAGCCAATACCCAACAGCGTTAGCGTCTAACTCCAATCAATCCATGGTATCGCATGGCCTCATCCACTGTCTCCGATATGTAATCGCCTCACACTCAACAGGGTTGAAATCTACCGGTCACAGCTTCTCAGTAGAGCTCCTAGAATTCCATCAGGAAACTAGTTAGTTGTGAGACCGAAGTTCCTGTGTTCGATTCTCGCGTGCGGGAGTCGTGAGTGCGCACTGCCGATAGTCCCATACTAAGACGAAACGGCCGTTCGGTGCTTTGAGGTTTCTAATGGTGATCTAACATTGATCGACTCATGATTTCAGTAAAAGTCAACAATCTCCAAAACCCTATAGTGAAAAGTTTTCATATTGCTTTATGAAAGTTAAACTGGCCATCGCCCATGCAATATCAGTCACAGAATTGAATAGTAGCAACATTCCTAAAAATGTATTGAAATTTACTGATAAATATTTCTGTATTTAAGAGATTTCAGTCCTCGAAGTCCGGCCTCATTTATTTAATGTTGCATTAAATAATTAAGAGTTTTAGAACAATGATGTCAAATATGATAGGATTATAATTTCTCAATAAAAATTAATTAGTATAATGAAAGAAATGTAGGTGTGAATAGCTAGTCTTTTTCTTGAAAATCTTTTTATAGAATCATTCAGTGAGATGAGATGCAAATTACCTGTGCTCACTAGTGACTAGCTTCGTGAGGAATCTTCTCCGATTTCTAGTGGGAAGACGTGACCAGTGAAGTTCAACCTGTTCGATTGTAGACAGTAACTAGCGAAGATTGTGTATGAGGTCGCGCAACTCCGTGAATCGATCAAGTTAGACATTAACACCGTTAGATACCAGCTTAGTGGTCCGATGGCTAGGCGTTCGCGCACAGTACCGAAGGTGATGGTATCGAGTCCTTCGGGGTGCAGGAGTCGTGGATGCGCACTGCTGAAGTCCTATACCAGGACGAAACGGCCGTCCAGTGCTTTTAAGTTTCTAATGGTGGTCTGTCATCGGTGGATTCATGGTTTCAAAAATGTGTAACTTAACAATCTTCACAACCCCGTAACGCGAAGAATTTATTGCCATGCATAAGTGTTTATTTGATTTGTTTTAAATTTGTATATTAATTTCTCAATTCAGTTGATATTACTTTATACTGTTTCGCATTATTATTACTATTATTATGATTATTATTATTATTACTATTATTATTATTGCAGTGCGCGTTATCAGCAGTTGACCAAGTTTTAAAAAGCTACCAGAAATCACTTCAAACATTAGATGAAAATACACAACAAGTGAAAGACTTAACTGCAGAAGCAAATTTTAAGAATCAATGGAATTATCAAGCCAATATAAATGAATCTTTATCGGATGTTTTAAATCTAATCACTCGTCTAATTTCCAGACTGGACCAATTACCTCATTTTACTGACGTAGACATGAAGCTGATGAATCGAATTATTAAATCAATTGAAGTAGGTTGAAATGTCAAAATAACTAGAGTAAAAAATTTTCGCTTACATTATTACCATGAAGTTAAAAAAAACTCACTATTCATTACAGTTTCTATTCAACAGCATATTTTTCATGATCGTACGTTGAATTGAAATGAACATCTACATTTTTTTTTGATAGGAAGCATGATACATTCAAGCTACAGAATAATGATATAGTCGATTTTATTTCTAATTTTATTCAATTCACAATAGAGCATATTTGTTGAGCTCATGAATTCAGCATTTTAAGAGGTCAAGAATCAACCCAACAGAAATGGTGGATAACGTGAATAAAAGAAATAACAGTGAATGGAATCAGAAATAGGATTTTAGTGTTAAGATGTAATGTTTCATAGACTATTGTATGATCTATATCTAGTCTATTCAACTAATTGGTAGAGGTGATTACGCAGAGTTAGTTAAGAACCAGAAACATTTTTGTTGGTATTTTTGAATTCTGACAGTTATCAAAGTGAAATATCAAGTTGAAATCCAAGTTACAACATTTTGAAACTTGAAAAATTTATGACTTCCAAAGTACTGAAATTTAGGTTTAATCTGTTCCGATTTAACAAAAGTATGTTTGTTCTGAATGATTTTGAAAAGAGTTGCTTGTGATTAGTCGAAACCATAGTTCAAAATCTATTCACATCATGTCTTGTTTCGTGCTCATCTGTATCTCAGTGTCGACATTCACGCTAAACCTTTGACTAAGTGTCTCTCATTTTAAACATTGACACAGGTACATCCAGCTGATGTTTACTAAATGAAAGCAAACAGGAGACCTGACCACACCTACCTACTACTACTAATAGCAACTTATACTGATACTTATTTGATCAAAACGGTAAAGATTCTGAGAGCAGAAGGTATATTTCATTGATAAACTTCTGATGATTTATTTAACATTGCAAATTAAATTTTTAATTAGTACATAATTCCTTTTCATATTTTCAGCTATTATTGACTTATCGCAAAGTGAATATCCAGTTTTCATTTACTGACTATTTATTCTAGAAATGTATTAGTTCTTATAAGCTTATCTTCTATATCAGTTGTAGGGATTAATTTAGCAATTTTTTTTCAACCGAATTTGAAGCTTTCATGATTTCAAATATGTAATAAGTTTACCATACTACTACTTGTAACTTTTTTACAATTTAACCGACTGGGAATTCAGCCTGTTAGCATTTGTTCAATCATATTCCAGTATGATTATATAACATAAAATATAAGCTAGAGTTTGATTTACTCGGTACACTCTTCGTTAGTATACTTATCAAGATAAATGAATTCAGCTTACTCCTAATTAATTGCCATTTATATTCTGAGATCAAGATTTTTGCATCTACCTGTATTCTAAATCGCTGAAGTTTCTGTAAGACATACACTATAAACCAATATACTTCAGTTATTCCACACAACAGCCCATACGATTTATTGATATAAAGTATATCTGAATCTGAAACAGTTTTCTTTACTTATTCACTACACGATAGGAAGGATATTTCGTTCCTGTTGCTTCTGAAATGCTTTGATAAGTATTAAAAGTCTACAATCAAGACGTAAATGATATATATATATATATATATATATATATATATATATCCAGTTCTCTGTAATCGGTTGTATACTCATAATATTAGTAAATATATCAACTAGATTTTCATTTATGCGTTGTAACATTTTCGTTTTCTATCAATATATAGATTGTACACGACACTGAAAAACTTTGTAAAACCAGTTCGTCAAACTTTACTGTATCAACCATACTTCCGATGCTGAAAAGTTTATACTCAATCACTGGAGAGACAATGAACAACAACTTATCCAATCGTTTTTACACCACTATGATAACTTATTTGAAAACAATTTTTGATCAGAATAGTTCATTGGCTGAATTTCTGCTTATATCAACCTTTCTTGATCCACGTTTTAAGCATCTAATGGATCAAAGTGAATATGAACGTGTTGTACCTGTTTTACAAGCAAAAGTACGTTTCATTCCAATCTTTGTTTCCTTTGGATAATTTACTGTTGTTTAAAATTTCAATAAAACTTACTTTTTTTTCATTTTGAAAAGTAGATAATAAATAAAGCGTACCAATGGAAAGTTAAAGGTCATGAGAATATATTTTAATTAGCACGTTGTTTTTTATTTACTCATTATGTTTGGAAATATTTGTACTGATAACAATAACAACAACATTAATGATGATAATAATCGTAATTATTGTTTTTATGAAAGTGACCATTAAATGTCACACTAATTTGTCAGTAAAATAATTTTTGTTTACGAAGTTTACCTGGTGAAACTTGCAACCACACTTTTAAGGAATGATAATATCGTTGAAAATATCGTAACAATAGAACAAAATAATTACGATCGCTTGTTCAAATTATGGTTAACATTTAATTTTAATTTAAATCAATGTAAAAAAAGAATGTTGGAAAGAGGGAGGTTTCAATTTGAAAGCAACTATATGCATACTTAATTGTTGAACTAAATTCAATGACTATGATTAAATACCTTTCCAGATTGTGAAATCTTTTAATCAATATATATTTTGATGCAAATTCGGACGTTGGACAATAGCATTGAATAGGTATACTGTCAAAATAAAAAAAATAGTAAGTATTATTAATGGACCGGCAGCAGTCAGTCGAAAAGATAGATAATGGCTGACAAATTTTTACAACTGAAAAGTTAGGACGTCGGGTACTGTCGAATCAGATCAAGATAAGTTGACAGTTAGCTAACAGAGAACGGGATACTTATGCTCAGATCTTACCAATAAGTCAATCATATGAAGTTAGGACTGTCAATCATAGTAAAAGTCAGGATAAAGTGTAGTGTTTGTCGGTCCCAGGGAAGAAGGGAGATACATGGATTTACAAATGAAATGGTTAATGAGTATGATCTGTAAAAAAGAACATGTAGGTTACGGCATGCATACATAACGTGAAGTTACTTAAAAACTAGACGGTGTTTGCTTAATAGAGTTATGATGATGTGGTTAATATTCTGCTTCTTCTAACCATATTTTTTTCTAGATTTGTTTACTTAAATGTTCGGCTTTTTTCAATAATGTTACTACGTTGAGTAATACTAGGAACTAAAAGAATAATAGAATTGAAGGGTTTTCACTCTTTTCGATTAATTTTGAGATTGTGGAGAAAATCTGTAGCTGAATTGGATGATTATGGTAGAGTTTTGTTCTCTGAGCTGGATGTTTTGGTTTTGGAGGCTTTCACTGTTCTTCTGAATAACATCAGGTTAAAGTGAAGTGTTCGACTTTCTCCATGTATGACTCGTAGCTTGCCCTGCTGACGTCGATCTCAATTGGCTGTTATTGACCCTTAACCTGTCCTTGTATGCATGTTTATTTTGACTGTATCCCTCTTTATTTTGCTCTTGATTATATGTTTGTCGATGATTTTTCTGATTGACTGATAAGTTGGATCGTTGTCGATATGCTTGTTGAGTTACTAACTTCCCTGAGTGTAAAGATTCGAAAAATTTTGTGGTGTACTTCATATTCTCTCTATCCTGTATTTCAAACCTAATGTACGTCCACAGTTATCCACATGAATTGATAAAAGGGAAGAAATGTCATGGTGTTTGAATGAAAACTGATGTTCATGTAGGCAAAGCTGAAGAGCACTTCCATTTTGTCCGATGTGATGTTGTTGTAGTTCGAATAATTTATTTTGTAGATGATGTTTGGTTCTTCTTCTTTTGCCACTTTGTCCCATGGTTTATTTAGGACTGATGGGAGTGATTTTGTTGGCTTATGTGCTATACTTATTCCAAAAAGACTCACTAACTTCACCGCAATTTCCGATGTCTTTTATGTATAGTCGGATGATCGTTTTGTCAGCTCTAGTATTTGATTTCGCTTCTGTTGAAGATTTAGGCCGATATTCAAAGTCAAAACCAACTAGAAAGCATAATTTTATAGTTAACAACATATTAGCAATTTGCTCACAAAATCTACGAGCAGACGAAAGGAGTACGGATAGGATCACCAATAACAGAACTTATTACAGAAGCAGTGATGAAGAAACTAACAGCCTTGATTTTACCAGTGATCAAGCCAGAAATGTTAGTTATTTTTATGTTTGAAGAACACTGAAAATATCAAAAGCTAAATGTCCAGCTCAGAGAACAAAACTTCACCAGAATCGATTAGCATTCTGAATGTAATTTTTCTTTCTTAATCTGCAAATCAGATAACTATTCACATCCAACAATCTGTTCTATTTATTTCATAGTAATATTTGCTTACTTTCTTAAAACTGACCAAATATTATTGTATTTTCATTAATTCTTCTCATTTGACAATATGAACTGATAGTGTACACTTTTAGTTTTGTTCTTAATTTCTAGCTGAATCTTTTATAAACTTTCTCAGTTTTTATGCGTATTGAAATTTCAGCATAAAATTGAGTTTTTTTTCTTTTTTGTAAGTATCTATTCCTTTTTGGTACTGTTATGCACGCAAGATAAATATTACTAACATTAATGATGACATGAACTAGTTTAATGTGACAATTCATTGATAATAGGTATGCAAGATTATAATATTATTGCTTAAACTACCTGTTACACATTAAGAACTGTAATGAATTATTGACTCATTATTCAAATATCGTAATGGTGATTTTGTTAATAAATGATGAAAGTAGTCTGAAATCACTTGTGTAAAGTAAATTTCATAGGTTGTTATTTCAGATTGGTTTGTATATATATATAAATTATTTTTTCAAATAAAACAACTATTCATTCATAGTTGTTTTTTAAAATGATTAAATTCTGTGAACGTTTTCACTTTTCTTAACATTATTTCACATTCTAACTCTATAGGTATCATCGCTTGATCAGTATATTCAAAAAATGGGATTACATTGTAAAATAAATTACATGGAGGAATTTCAGCACACTCTTAATGATTATTTAAATGAAAAACCAATTAATATTAATGAAAATCCTATTCAATGGTGGGATGATCTATGTCATAAGTCAGAAAAATATTATACTTTTAAAATGTTGGCATCATACTATTTGACTGTTCCAATGAATATATCAAATAATAATAATAGTAATAACGCAAATATGAATGATAACAGGAACCATTATTCCCATCAACAACAACAGCAAGGTATAGATAAATTTATCGAAAAATGTGGAAATTCCTTCAGAGAGGAAAATTCTTCAATACCAATCAATATTAGTGGAAAAACTGATACTGAACATAACATGTTTCAAGAAAATCACAAACCTAATGTAACATTTAATCACTATTGTAAATCAAAACATTCGTTGTATTTGTGGTCTCGTGTTGGAACTAAATTTATCCCGATTTATCGATTTTTGAGGAAAAATTGGGAATTTTCCGAAAATCTGTAAGTAAACTATTTATATGAAATAAATTTGTATTTTGTAAATTTTGTAGATACTTTTCATTGTTCAAACGTCTACACGTTTACGTTATTTCAGTTCAAGTTAACTTAAGTAGCAGAAACATTTCCCTGATCTGTCAAAATGCCATTATATTGAACAATAACTGATTAAATCTAAAAATTAATTACACTACATTCAGGGAAGTTATAAGCTATGACAACACGACAACAAACAATTTCGAATCCAGGAGCTACTTCTCAGAATACTTGAAATTTCATAAATAAGATAATATAAATAGGTTTTAATTTTATGTTTCAACAACCATAGATAAATAATTTGAATTATCTAGATGGTATAGTAGCTTAAAATCATGTAACCAAATAAGCTCACCGTCAGTAAGATTGTAATGTATCATGTGCATTGTAAGTGGGTATTATCGTCAACCTCCGGATGTAATAATAATAAGCCAGTTAATATATCCAGTTGGATATCATCATTTTGAAAGTACCATTTACTATAGTTTAGACAATTAACTAAATATTTTTACAGTTTCAGAAAAAATATATTTGACTTTCTTTCAATACTTCTATAGTTTTTTATAAAAAATGGTTTCATGAACACAATGGAATCACGACTCCTTACTAACTATTATCAATGGTAATGGTAAAATTTTCATTGTTATAAAATACTTTCTGCTAAATGTTTATCAAACGTACAGTTTGTTGACTGTAGACTAGATGACACCATCTCATCATCTAGTTTGACCAAACTATGTATATCGTCATAGCATTTAGACTTTTAAACTGATAGTGTTGATAATATGTGTTTCCTATCAATTGGCAACATAATATCCTTTGAGACTGTCAGATTAGAAGTTAGACCACATATCAAACAGACACCATCAACCAATCGAATAAAAATAGACCATTGTGAGAAGAATCATTTAGCTGGTTTATAATTTTGATCATCACTATTCGGTAGAAACAAACAAATGCAAACTAGTCAATATCTTTCTGTAGAAAGAAATAGAAATTTTCTTTTCACCTTATGATTAAGCTATGCAGATGATCGGTACAAGAGGAAATTATTAACCTGACATTATAAGTCGATAAACCAGTACGTTATACAAACAGAATGAACGTGAAATTATGACCAACTTAATTATAGTTCACTGAAACTGTGTAAATATACTTATTTTTTAAAATGAAACAGATAATGAGTATCTGCTATTTAAAAACATCGAATTCATACTTGATAAAACACCATTTTGTATTTTCCTGTGTTTACAATACTCAATACTGGTCAGTGTAATTTCATAAAGAACATTTTTATTGAGTTGATATTGTTATTACTTCCAACGATTTCAATAACTACTTGTAAAACCAATTGTTCTTATTATCATTGTAGCAAAGAAAGAGATGAAGATGTCACTATCTGAATTAATCATTCTACCTAATTTATCAAAGGGATATTCAATTTTACAGTTTAAATAATAGTTGAAAATAAAATGTTACTTTTTCCTTTTCATTGGATGGAGATGCACTTCTAATCTCTTTATCTTACAGTCTAATTATCAATGATACGATTAATTCATATACTGGTTTCAACTAAATGCTATTTGTGGAATCAACCTGGAAGTTACAGAATTAGAATCAACAAAACACTGAAAGTTTACAATGAAAAAAAATCTATAGTAAAACATAATTGTCATACTATTCATTCTTTTTCGTTTTCGACATAATCTTTTTTGGTTTCCAATTAAATAAGTCTATATTCCTAATATATTTTTCTATATTCAATTTTAATTTATAAAGATTTAAAAAATACTTTCATTCATTTGTTTTTCATGTGTTCAATATTGAATTTAACTTGTAGCGATAATTGTTATTGCAAAAGAATAAATAATTTGTAGATTCACAAGAAATTATAACTTTATTTCAATAAAAAGAAAAAAATTAGATATACATGCATTTTGTATACTAAATAATAATAATAATAATTAATAACAGTTTTTTTCTCTCTTATTTCAAAGTAATTTCTGTCTTTAAATTTATTATATACTTTCAAGATTTCTATGCATGTTATGTTATTTTATAAAAACTTACAATGATCATTGATTCAATGCATCTTGTAATGATAAATCCTATAAATCGTACCCAATGTCTTTTTCCTAATACTTCACGACATCAAAACTTTACCGAAAATTTTCAGCAATAGGAAACTGGTTAAAATCTTCTATGTTTCTATTTTACCATGAATAAGAAGAGCTTGAAGATAACTACTAAATAACAACTTCTTTTAAGTCAGGTTTCTGGCCACGATGGCAAAAAATGTAAAAATTAATCCAGCTACTCATAGTGGGCAAGTGACTGTTTGCAAAATTGTCGTATGTGGTTGACCTTAAGGATTTTACTTTCAGATTAAATGGAAAGGACTCCGTAACTAGTAAGACCACCAAACGTCTTGATAAAAAATGGTCCCTTACGGTTAGATCAATAGATAATTAATAAAAATCAAAATTTCTTCATTAGCGCTGATGATTATCGTTTATTATTCATCAAATGCCATCTATTCCTATAGCCAATACTCTTTTCATGGTTGTACTTTTTTTGATTGTTGAACTAATGTTCAACTAATGAACTTTGAATTTTTTTGTATCATCTACATTTATCTGCAACCATATTTTAAATGATATGTTCAAGTTTTTTAGTTATCGAATGCCGCTCCTAGTTAATCATAGGCATTCAGGAACACAACTACCGTGGATAATTGCTGTATCTTTTGAACCATCAATTCAAGAGTTGACTTTATTCACTAAATCTGTAGAAATACCATTATACATTACCTTCCTTACATTTGAATATGTTAATTCTACTTTCAAACTCACAACTATCACTACCAGGTGAGATAGTCTGTTGTGAAGTTGTTCATAACTCTTAGTAAAGTTAACCAGAAATAATAGAAATTCATGATAGCATAAGGCATGCCATCCAATAGAACATATTTTGACGATTAATCTAATAACAACATTAGCCACCAATATACACGGACAATTATTCATTGGACAAATAAATCAGTTGCATAAAAAATAACAAATAAATAATAGTAATAATAAATAATAAATAAATTATTCTAATAATTTTATATCTTATCTTTGAATTGTTGAAATTAGATCATTATAACCAGTTTGTGATTACCCCCGCCTAGAGGAATTGTGATTGTTTATATAGTTGAATGAAAAATATGCAAACGTTTATAAAATGATCACCAGATAAATTGTCGGTCAACACATTAATATTTGTGAACTATTCAATTACATATATAGTAGTAATACGGACAATTAAAATTAAAAATTAAAAAATAAAAAAAATAATTTTTTTTCTGTTAGATAATAAATAAACTTACTAAATTGGTTTCAGTTAGAAAAAAAAAGATTATTCTGTAAAGTAACTATCATTTCTATATTGTGAATAATCTTTCATGTCTATGTACTGTACTGTACACAATGATTAGCCAGTATGTTGAATCTTACATATTCGAAAAAACACATTATGAAAAATGATAATAAATTCAGTTAGATATCCATTAACAATTTTTGTAAAAAAATTATTAAACATGGAGGCACACACTCTCTCTCTCTCTCTCTGGTGGACATAGAGTATTATGAGAATTTTACTTTAGTAAGTGGAAAATGTGATCTACGTGGTAACAGTCACTTGTCATTTCAGAAAATTATCTACTTTATTTGTTGTAGCAACAGAATGCTCATTTTAATTAGAAAGATTATTGTTATAATGATAATTAAATATTATTAGGTAAAATATTTTGAACGAACATTTTTATAGCAAAGATTTTAGATTATTGTAGACACTAGAATTATAACTTTCATTACAGGGTTGTGAAGATTATTGAATTTCATTGAAATCATGAATCGAGCATTGTTAGACCATCACTAGAAATCTGAAAGCGTTGGACAGATGATCCTTCCCTAGTATGGGACTCATTCAACAGTGCATATCCACAACCTCGCAAGCGGGAATCAAACCGAAGTGCTTCGGTCTTGAATGCAAACACCTGAATGCTGCTAGACCACTGAGCCAACACCAAACAATGTTTACGTCTCACCAGAATTGTATACATCAAAATCAATTAATCCTAAGCTCTATTAGAATATTGTAATTAAATAGTGTCACAATAATCCATCACGTTCAACAGAATCAACAAAATTTACCAGCCAAGTCTATTGAAACATTGAATTTTGTCCATTCAGAAATTCGCTCATTTACTTTCTTTCTTAACATATCATTTTGATCTAAAGTCAAACACAGAAAACATCCTGCAATTGCCATTATATGAGTAATTTTATTTGCTAGTGTTTTCATCAAGTTGCAGCAATAAGTAGTAAACACACTACTGTTTTGATTTTTTTTTTCTTAAAATAAAAGCAGTATGAAATTCAATTTCACTACTTCTGTTATTATTATCAACGTTAAATATATATATATATATATATATATATATATATATATATATATATATATATATATATATATATATATATATATCCGGTTTCATTGTGATTCTACTATTCGGGAGATTAGGTTCCTTTTTTACTCTATGGATTTCTTACATTTTCAAATGTGTACAAACAATTGTTTTATTCATGAACACACGTTACTACTTTATAACAATACTAGTATTATAATTAGAACTATGTACATTATACGCTCTATTAATCATTAATAAACTGTCAGTTATTAAATCGCGATATATATATATACACCTCTCAGTCTAATCAAATATATAGTCTCATACTATTCCCTATTCACCTTATAATTATTAATATATATATATATATGTATATATATGTACACACATTGATAGGTAGGTACTATTGATGGAGTTCACTTATGTCAACACATACATTCTCTATGTACAACCGGATAATGTCACCACTTGAAATTAATCACTTCAATGAATTTTTCGTTTATATACAATAGAATTTAATTAGTTGAATATTATTATTATTATTACTACTACTACTACTAATAATAATAATAGTAGTAATATATTTTTTAAAGCAATACAATATTTGTACAAAGTTTATGTAGTTGATTTCAGTGGACTGACACATGTCAACTTGATCGAATGTGAGAACTCACTTCACACTTAGGTCGTTTATTTTTCAATACTTATTGAAAATGAATAAAAAAAGGAGAGTGTATGAGAGCGAGCGAGAGAGAGAGAGGGATGGCCAGCACACGGGTTAATAGACAGTATGAAGAGGTCTGAATAGTTATGAAGTATTATTATTTCGCTTGATTTTTTTTTAAAAACTATTTTTGACTGTTAACTATAAGTGTGATAATAAAAGAGATAAGCCTATAGTCCTAGAGGTAATATTAAAAACAATAAATTTTCTAATAACAGAAAGCATTAAGTGTAATTTAGGAAGGTCAAAAAAAAGTTCTCGAAAATCAAACATATATTAAAACTAAGATTAACATAGAACAATAAGATTGATTGTAGAAAAAACCATCTTCTGTTTGTTGAACCGAGACTAATTACAAGTGACAATTTGTATGGAATAATATTTTTTAAAAATTCTTTTAAAAATTATAATACTATATTTGAAAAGTGTTCCTATAGGTTTATTATTATGTAAGAGTTGTATTCATATAACAACAAAATATGCATATTACTCTGGTTGACAAATTTCAGTATGATAAAACATAAATCCTAGATTTACTAGATTTTACTAGACAGAGTTAGTTGATCGGATGTGTTCCAATCTGGTGAGATGGCTAGCGACACTTTGTTTAGTTTATAAAACTTAAACTTACAGCGGATGTGTCATTTACTACTGGAAACAGATGGAACAGCATTTTGTTTTCATATATTTTAAAAATAGATTTATGGTCTTTTCAGAAGTAATTATGAAAAATGACATTTGTTTGTTCTGTTCCATATTTCGCTATCTTATTATCAAACTAACAATAATAACGAATATTTTGATCCCAACTCAATATTCTTTAGACGATTACAAATCTAGTTAAATTCAAATGTGAACCTAAATACATTATTCAGTACTTTGAGTTATAGAAATTTTAATCCACTGTAAAAACGGGGACACTGGCGTTAAATATCGCAACAAACAACGGAATCACCGTCGAAATATCAACATAAGACTAGTGCTAGGTAAGTATCAAGCGCATATGAAATGTTGAAGAAGTCTTACCATACTTCATACAAAACGAGCACGACAAAAATGTTTTCGCAAAGATCATTCGGCATGTAATTTGCATTATCCCGGCTATTTCCGCAATCCTATGAAATTAAGACCTCCTTATTTCGCTTACTTATAGCATTACCTTTATCAGAAGGTAAAAATTACTCAGGTTAACATTATGTTAACCAGCGAACAGGAACTTTTGTAAC